AGAACCTTAAAAAGGGACATCGATTTGCAGCGATGCGAGTAAGGTCAGGATGAACGAACGTTCTTTTAAAGTTACAATTTACTCTTAATACAACAATTTAAAAGTGGATTAGGTTTTCCCCACTTTACTTATTTTCATTCTTACTACTACTAAAATAAAACAAAAATCAAAAAATTTAAGTAGATCAAGTTAAATGTTTAGATGATGTTAATATAAGCAAATACTTCTTAGCCAGTATAAGGCGTGTATTGTCAGTTACTTTATATTTTGAAATTTGGTTATTAATTATTTTACTAAGGATTAGGTGGTCTTTGTTAAGATGACCTTATAGAGATTTATTTTTGAATATAAACACAACGAAGGTATTACTGATTTAAATCTAAAAAATAAGTAGAGCTCTAATGCAGAGCATAAAACCTAAAAGTAAGTAGAGGCTCTAATGCGAGCATAAAACCTAAAAATAAGTAGAGCTCTAATGGGCATAAAACCTAAAGTAGTAGAGCTCTAATGCGAGCATAAAACCTGAAAGTAAGTAGGAGCTCTAATGCGGCTTATAAAACCTAAAATCAGTAGAGCTCTAATGCGAGCATAAAACCTAAAATAAGTAGAGCTCTAATGCGAGCATAAAACCTAAAAGTAAGTAGAGCTCTAATGCGAGCATAAAACCACAAAAATCAGTAGGCTCTAATGCGAGCATAAAACCTAAAAATAAGTAGAGCTCTAATGCATAAAACCTAAAGTAAGTAGAGCTCTAATGCGAGCATAAAACCTAAAAATAAGTAGAGCTCTAATGCGAGCATAAAACCTAAAAAAGTAAGTAGAGCTCTGAAATGCAGAGCATAAAACCTAAAATCAGTAGAGCTCTAATGCAGGCATAAAACCTAAAAATAAGTAGAGCTCTAATGCGAGGCATAAAACCTAAAGTAAGTAGAGGCTCTAATGCAGGCATAAAACCTAAAAATCAGTAGGCTCTAGTAGAGGCATAAAACCTAAAAATAAGTAGAGCTCTAATGCGGGGCATAAACCTAAAAATTAAGTAGGCTCTAATGCGGGCATAAGGCCTAAAAATGAAGTGGAGGCTCTAATGCAGGCATAAGAGCCTAAAATAAGAAGTGAGGCTCTATTTTGACATAAAGAGCCTAAAAGTAAGTAGAGGCTCACAATGCGAGCATAAAACCTAAAAATAAGTGAGCTCTAATGCGAGCATAAAACCTAAAAATAGAAATAGAGCTCTAATGCGAGCATAAAACACAAAATCAGTAGAGCTCTAATGCAAGCATAAAACCTAAAATAAGTAGAGCTCTAATGCGAGCATAAAACCCTAAAATGAAAATGAGCTCATGCGAGCATAAAACCTAAAAATCAGTAGAGCTCTAATGCGAGCATAAAACCTAAAAATAAGTAGGCTCTAATGCGAGGCATAAAACCTAAAAGTAAGTAGAGCTCTAATGCGAGCATAAAACCACAAAAATAAGTAGAGGCTCTAATGCAGGCATAAAACCTAAAATAAGTAGAGCTCTAATGCGAGCATAAAGGCAAAATAAGTAAGCTCTAATGCGAGCATAAAAACTTAAAAACAAATAAAGCTCTAATGCGAGCATAAGAACTTAAAAATAAGTAAAGCTCTAATGCGAGCAAAAAACTTAAAAATAAATAAAGCTCTAATGCGAGCATAAAAACTTAAAAATAAGTAAAGCTCTAATGCGAGCATAGAAACTTAAAAATAGATATTTTTTTTTCTTTTTTTTTATTTTTTTTATTTATCTTTTCAGAAGCAATAAAGGAGGGAAGTCGAGGACGACCGGAAAGTAGGATGGCCGAGTGTTATGATTTTATGAGTACCTTGTTTATATAGTGTATTGTTATGATTAACAAATTATGGTTTATGTATTATGTCAGATTGTATTATTCATAATGCATGGTTTTTATGACGATAGAATGTTACCAGAGATAAGATTGGGAGTGAGGCGTCCGCAGCAGTCAGTCGGTACCGTGCGCTCGCACGATACACATGTTTGTGTCGTAATCCTAAGTACTAAAATGTAATAAAGAAGTTATGAGGGAAATCCAGTGTTTTATTTGGAAATACGAGATCTACTGTTACACTTGATATTGTGCGTCAAATTAAAATATTTTCCTGAAATACATCCTTGTACATGTACATACTTTAGGTTTATACTTAAACAAAAATTTCCAAGTTTTTGTTCTAGGCACTACAGATGCCCGACTTTGAGTCACCCTATAGAAGTTAAAATATTTTCCTGAAATATATTCTATGTTTTCTTGATATTGTGCTTCTAATTCTTCCGGTTGTAAAGTATAGTTATTAACGTAATAAGGCCGATAAACAACAAATAACGGCCGGGCTGAAGTTTGTGATCCGAGGCGATAGCCGAGGATCATAAGCAGCCAAGGCCGTTATTTGTTATCGGCCGTGTTGCGTTCTAGATTTTTCGTCATACTGCAGATTTTTAGAGCAATAAACACTACTATTTAATAACAAATTTTTATTGAACAATAACACACAAGTAAGGATAAAATACATAATGTCTTATACTAAATTCATTTTCATGATAATAGAACATAAAATTAAAAGTGCACTTGTTGTTCTTAGAAATCATAATCCTTCCCAGGGATTTACAGATTTTATAGAAAGATGATGCTACTGAAGAATGGCAAATATTTGTATCCACTAAAGACACATTATTTTGGAGCTATCATGAAAAAGTTGATTTATTATTTTCATTCTTTTGGAAGTTTTCTATGTAAGTTTCTGCCACTGTTGAAGACTCCCATCCTCTAGCTCCTTTAGCGATAGTAAAATCACCACCATTTTTCGACATGGTTGCTGATGATCTACAGAAATGAATGCCCTGTATAACGTTCTGGATTCTCCAAGTTCAAAAATTTTGCAATTTTCTGCGGTACGCTCCCGATGGTATGTATACCGACGATTTACTTAACACCTTGCCTTTCTTGCAGCAATGAAAAATTTTGGATTGTCAAGTTACGAGGACGCAGGTTGTCTTATTTTGTATAAACCATAGGCATCAAACGGAAGGCCCGTTTTGGAATAAGAAATTTCCTATCTTTCTTATTTTAGTATTTCTTAATGAGACAAATATTTTCTCCGAAATCTTCGAAATCATCAACTGTAGTATTAACTCGCTGCGCCTACAAGCTCAAAATACCAATACAATTTTTTCAGTAACCAGGTGTAATCCTCGGCATCCAGTAGAAAATTATTTATGTCATTCTCCGACAGAACTTTGGCTTTTTTGGTGAATAACCTTCGTTTTGCGCCTCAGAAACATGAACAGTTTGCAAATCTATGAACAAATATAAATTTAGATGAGTATGATTAAATATCAGAAAGGAGCTCTAATGGCTTTTTACCTTGATATGTCGATGTTTCATATACTCTCAACGCAAACTTCAGCATGGATATCTTTGTCCACAGTGATGTAGAGGAGAATACATTTCCGACATTCTTTTAGCATAAGCCAACAATACCGCTTCATTTACCGCTGTTTATACTTCTATCCTGCCACCACTTCAAAAATTGTCATATTCCTGCGATATCTCTCTCTGGTTATAGTCGGAAGTAAATTTTGAGTAGCCGCAGCCGCTTCCTCCTGTATTTCCAACGGAATTTCTCGCGACATCTCGCTATGGTCTATTTTCCCAATTTTTGTAACTGACAATAAATAGTCATTATTGTTGCAGGTGACAGACGTTACGATTACCTTAGAAACTTAACGGCCGCCGGCCGTTATGATAACGTCCGGCGGACGTTATATGCATCTTTTCCATTCTGATTTTGCTTATGTTATAATAATATAACAATATAGTATGACGAAAAAGATTTAAAATAAAAATTTAAAGTACAGATTTCAGTTAACGCCTCCTTTTTGCTGCCAGGGCTAATCTGGACGGGGACTACTTTGTTTACGCGGAATCCGAACCGCAGTCATCGGTCATATCATGGACAGTGGCCTACCGACTTAGGAAGTGTCTAAATTAACTCTTACTCACGAGATATCCGATCTCATCCGGCCTCGAACCGACGTGAATGAGCAGTGTGCATCAATAGATTTTACACTTTTCCCTCAGACAACAGCACGATACAGAGTTTCGAACCGGTTACCCGTCCATCCACCAGTATCGCCTTACGTCGCTTAACTTCGATGTTCTAATGGGAACCGGTGTTTCAACGTAGCTAGGCCGTTGCCTCTCTTCCGGTTGTGGTAACTTGCCTTCAAATCTGCGCAGTAACTGATCTCTAGCGTCGTCCAAGTGGACCCTATCGAACACTATTAAAATTTCTAGTATAACTTTTGAATTCTTTGTTACTCTCTGATATGGAACAATGTGTGTTAGTTCACTTGCAAAATATGTAGGTATGTCCCAATGCACGTACGAACTCGTAAAGATTAATCCTTTGTAATAGAAAATCTTCACAAAACTCCTAGCTAGTTATCCTATGACAATCTTGTTTGAGTGGAAAAAATAAATCTTTTTGATTAATTAAAACCGAGGGGTGTCTCACTATTGGAATTACATGTACATTTTCTTGGCAGTCGCTGGCAGTTATATTATGTACATTTTTTGCCCAAGTGAGACACCCTTCGATTAAAACTATTTGATGAGAAATACTTTGACGGAAATCAGTATATTTTTGAATCAGGTTTTTAACAACATTAGTTTTTTTTTCTATTGTATTGCATCACTCTCGATTAATAAACGATATTCACGTTACTTTTACGGTATTCTCAAGGATTCTCAAGACTACTTATATGACTATTGATATAGTGGGGATAAGAGTAATGGGAATTAACGAATGTTTGAAACGTATATTATATTGCTGGGAGGAAGAAGAGTATAATGAGGAGGAGGATCTCTCATAATAACTACTGCCCCCCCCCTTTATGTGTAAATCTCTCTCTCTCTCTCTCTCTCTCTCTCTCTCTCTCTCTTGAATAATAATATAATTGAATTACCTTTAATCTGGATTCAATCAAATTAACTGTGTCTGTCATCCTCAATTCTCTAGCCCATGAAAGTGCAGTTCTATCATCATTACCTTTAAATTCTAAATCGATTTTCTTTCTTATAAGAAATTCTACACATTTAAGGCATTTTATTGGTCTCTTATCTCCATGTTGAATAATAAGGAATATTAATGGATTTGTGCCTGTAAATATAAATTAAATCGTATCATGTATTACAGAAAAACGACCATATATCATATATCATAATATTTTCTTATTTTACGGTAGAGGGCTTTTAAATTGAAAAAAAAGATATTCAGTTATATAATATAAGTTAAGTTCAGTTTAAATCAGTTTGATAAGTTTAAAGAAGTATTAAACTATTTTTTTTCATAATCATTCATTAAGTGCAAACCTAAAGTAGGTATGTACTAACATGCATCTGAGGAAAATATTTTCTTAATATAGTAATAACTTATACAAGGTGGCTCAAAAAAGTGTGTGTGGATCGGGATGATTTTTTTAAATGGACCGCTCTGTATATTATTGAATATTTTCTATCCTTTCCGATCACTTTACCCCCATAATCCTAAGATATTAATAAATAAATAAAAAATATATATTTTTCAGCCTATATAAAACAAATTATTTAAAATACAAGGACTGTCCTGAAATCAAAACTATACCGGGTGCGTCTCAAAAGTGGCTCACCCCTATAACTTTTTTATTTTTTCAGATAAATTGACAACGATATTTGGTATGTTAGTATATGACATAAATTGGGATTGATTGACGTACTCAATTGGAAATGACTACAACTTTTGACTTTTAAATGGCACCCTCAGTATTTTTTTACTTTATTCGATAAAAAAAACACTCTGAATCGAATGACATATCATATGTCAACTTTTGACATTTTGGAATATGGTTTATTTGGAATTGTAACATGCGGTTCATAACGACAATTTGACTCAAAATACCAAGTGTGTGGTATCGAATTATTCGTAAAAAATGCTTTTTCCAAATATGCTAATGAGCCACCCTCGTTCCATTTGAAAAAATTGAGATATGATTAAAAATACGATTTGGGCATCTTTTAACCGGCCAGGACAAGACACTAAAAATATTAGAAGATCAAATCTATTTTTCCAAGGCTCCTTGATTAAAAATGAGTGTTTTTAACACAGCCATAGCACTCTAGATTGAAATTTGAAATACAATTTGTTTTTCAGTTACTATGTCAAAAATTGACATATGCTATGTCATTCGATTCAGAGTGTCATTTTCTATTGAATAAAGTAAAAAAATACCGAGGGTGCCATTTGAAAATCAAAACTTGTAGTCATTTCCGGTGAAACCGGAAGTGACTGAAAACAATTGAATACGTCAATCAATTTATGTCATATACTAACATACCAAATCTCGTTTTTTTATCTGAAATAATAAAAAAGTTATAGGGGGTGAGCCACTTTTGAGACGCACCCGGTATGCTAATATAATAGCTATATTTGCTTTAGATGGTATGTACCAAAGATATTTAAACTCAGGAGATACAATTGTTTACCTTTTTCCTTCATCGGCCATTATTCTATCCTTATTTTCCCATCTCTCTTACACCGAAAACGTTTTCTAGATTTACCTGTATATTGATATTAGTATTCGATTAAATACCACAACCAATTATTAAGTAAAAATATAATTTTTTTTTTTTCGGTCAAGAGGCTTGAAAAAGACATATACTGTCGAAACGTCGTCACAAAATAAAAAAATAATGAACAAAATCTAGAAACATCTTTGCAACCCCAACGACCTAAAGCCAAGAGTGAAAACAAAAAAATATAAAGTAAAAATAATTTCGTTATATTTCTATAATATATCAAGTACATTAATTTGCTAACGTCAATTTTTTCATTTAATGCTTAACTGCTTAACTATTTTAAATTTTGTAACGGAATAAAAATATCATGGTCGTGTTTCTTTTAACAATAAAAAGTAGTTTGACAACGTCAGTTTTAGAAATATGCCGGCGTAGTACAACGGCTTTCGAGGATGAATGGAAATTCCTATATTCTCCTGTTGCGATGTTGCTACGCCGCCGATCAAGCTCCCTATTCTTTATTTGCAGTATTATAGCAATTTTGCTTTATTTTGTAGACTTCTGTGGACATTAATTTGAAAATATGGTGCATTCATGTATTGTGTACAAGAGGATGTTTCATTTAAATCCAAATTTATCTTTTCACCGGTAAATAAAAATAAGTAGGGTTAGGTATATTATTATATCCTATTCTCTGTAGATCAGAGGCGTACCTAGACATAAAAAAAGCAGATTTCTAAACTAAATACACCAAACCAATGGGCATCTACCCCAGCATCTTTCAGGCAGATGTCTACGCTACCGAAAGGAGCGTACGATTTAACTTAGATAGAGAAGATTACAGTTGAGGGTTGGAACCTTTGGTGTTACACAGCAAAATAAAAACACTAAATCACCACAATACACCAAAACACTTTTACTTATACACTGGACGCGCGTTTCGCTAACCATGTTACCATCATCAGCAGATGATTATAAACTAAAGTACAATCTACAAGTTGAGCGTTTATATACTCGCCCAGTGCGCACCGAGTGGGCATGGCAAAATCTAGCCAACCGAGTCAGAGCCCACTGAGCCTAACAGTTAGATTTCCGCCACTAGAGTAGTAGGAACAAAGAACTTGAAGGAATTGGACCGTTGTCTCTGTTCATACTATCTTTACATTTATTAATTCTGATGTTTTCATATGCATTTAATTGCATATAATTTGAGCCTTGTTTAATTAATTTTAAATTTATTATGTATAATTAATTTTAAATTTATTATTATTTAATATATATTTATATTAATTTTATTATTATACATATTAAGATATATACAATGTTCTTTATCAACAATATGTTCGGCAACGCAAGATTTATCCGGTCTACCATATCTTATCTGAGCTAAATGTTCTTTAAATCTAGTTAATATTGATCTTCTAGTTTGCCCAACATATTTCTGATTACAATCTTTACAAGAAATTTCATAAATACCCGACCTATCCAGTGAAGGTGTTTTATCCTTTGGATTACCTAAAAATTTGTTGTAATTTATTATTAGCACTATACACAAGTTTATAATTGACATTCTTAAAAATTCCTTTTAGACCACGGGATAACTCTCTATCAAACAGTATCGAAAAATATTTATACGTATCTTTCTCCACTTGAAAAGTCGAATTTTCAGAAATCATTAACCTATACCAAAGAATATCTTAATACCCTAGAAGTCTCGTCTGGCATCAAAATCTGACCTGTCGATGGGGCCTCGCTTTGGCGAGCGAGGCCCCAACTTCGTGGAGCCTCGCTATTTTGCTCGGAATTGAACGAATAGACGCGCGGCGTTGCCTTGTTTTGTGTGTACTTTCTTGAATAGTTTTAAATTATAGTTTTAAATTTTATCTATTGCTATAATAATCAGTCTTTCCGTTCTCCGCACTCCGCAGTTTACATATAATATTATCTTATATAATTCCCGTGTTACAGTTTTGAGTTACCGTACTCCTCCGAAACGGCTTAACCGATTTTTAATGAAATTTTATATGTATATTCGGTAGGTCTGAGAATAGGTAGTTATATATTTTTTTATACCCTTAAATGATAAGGGTAGTCCATTCCCCATTTTTTTTTATTTTGTGAAAAACAATATTTTAATTTTTTTTTTTATTTGGCATTAAAAATACAAACAACACTAAATTTTCACCTTTCTACTTTCATCCCCTATTTTTTAATAGGGGTTGTTTTTTTAATTTTTTGTTACCATCTCCGAAACGGCTTAACCGATTTTGATAAAATTTTATATGTATATTCAGTACGTCTAAGAATAAGTTGTTATCTATTTTTATACCCTTAACTGATAAGGGTAGCCGAGAGGGTAACCCACCCTAATTTTTTTTTAATTTTTGAAAGGAAAAAAATGTTTTTTATTTTTTTATTTGGCATTAAGAAATACAAACAACACTAAATTTTCACCGTTCTACTTTCATCCCCTATTTTTTAATAGGGGTTGTTTTTTTAATTTTTTGTTACCATCTCCGAAACGGCTTAACCGATTTTGATAAAATTTTATATGTATATTCAGTACGTCTAAGAATAAGTTGTTATCTATTTTTATACCCTTAACTGATAAGGGTAGCCGAGGGTAACCCACCCTAATTTTTTTTTTTAATTTTTTGAAAGGAAAAAAAATGTTTTTATTTTTTATTTGGCATTAAGAAATACAAACAACCCTAAATTTTCACCGTTCTGCTATCATCCCTATTTAGTAATATAGGGGTTAATAGGAGTTGTTTTTTTTTTTTTTGTTGCCATCTCCGAAACAGCTTAGCCGATTTTGATGAAATTTTATAAGTATATTGAGTAGGTCTGAAAACAGGTTGTTATATATTTTTTTATACCCTTAAGTGATAAGGGTAGCCCACCCCATTTTTTTTATTTTAAAAAAATATTTTTATTTTTTTTATTTGGCATTAAAAATACAAACAACCCTAAGTTTTCACCGTTCTACCATCATCCCCTATTTTTAATAGGGGATGTTTTTAATTTTTTGTTACCATCTCAGAAACAGCTTGATCGATTTTGATGAAATTTTATATGTATATTCAGTAAGTCTGAGAATACGTTGTTATCTGTTTTATACCCTTAAGTGATAAGGGTAGCCCACCCCCCATTTTTTATATTTTTGAAAAAAAAAATATTTTTAATTTTTATTTGTCATTAAAAATACAAACAACCCTAAATTTTCACCGTTCTACCATCATCCCCTATTTTTTAACAGGGGTTGTTTTTTTTAAGATTTTTTGTTACCATCTCGAAACGGCTTAACCGATTTTGATAAAATTTTATTTGTATATTCAGTACGTCTAAGAATAGGTTGTTATCTATTCTTGTACCCTTAAGTGATAAGGGTAGCCGAGAGGGTAGCCCACCCTCATTTTTTTTTTTTTGGAAAAAAAATATTTTTTTATTTGGCCTTAAAAATACAAACAACTCTAAATTTTCACCGTTCTACCATCATCCCCCCTATTTTCTAATAGGGGTTGTTTTTTGATACCATCTCGAAACAGCTTGGCCGATTTTGATGACATTTTATTATGTATATTGAGTAGGTCTGAAAATAGTTTGTTGTCTATTTTTATACCCTTAAGTGGTAAGGGTAGCCCACCCCATTTTTATATTTTCTGAAAAAAAATATTTTAATTTTTTTATTTGGCATTAAAAATACAAACAACCCTAAATTTTCACCGTTCTACCTCATCCCCCCTATTTTTTAACAGGGGTTGTTTTTTAAGATTTTTGTTACCATCTCCGAAACGGCTTAACCGATTTTGATAAAATTTTATATGTATATTCAGTACGTCTAAGAATAGGTTGTTATCTGTTCTTATACCCTTAAGTGATAAGGGTAGCCGAGGGTAGCCACCCTCATTTTTTTATTTTTGAAAAAAAATATTTTTTATTTGGCCTTAAAAAATAAAAACAACTCTAAATTTTCACCGTTCTACCATCATCCCCTATTTTTTTAATAGGGGTTGTTTTTTAAAGTTTCTTGTTACCATTTCCAGAAACGGTTTTGCCGATTTTGATGAAATTTTATTATGTATATTGAGTAGGTCTGAAAATAGTTTGTTATCTATTTTTTATACCCTTAAGTGATTCCCATTTTTTTATATTTTGAAAAAATATATATTTTATTTTTTATTTTGCATTAAAAAATACAAAGAACCAAAAATTTTCACCGTTCTACCATCATCCCCTATTTTTTAATAGGGGTTGTTTTTAATTTTTGTTACCATCCATGAAACAGCTTTGACCGATTTTGATAAAATTTTATATGTATATTCAGTACGTCTAAGAATAGGTTGTTATCTATTTTTTTATACCCTTATGTGGTAAGGGTAGCCCACCTTCATTTTTATTTTTTGAAAAGAAAAATGTTTTTATTTTTAGTTGGCATTAATAAATACAAATAACCTAAATTTTCACCGTTCCACCATCATCCCCTATATTTTAATAGGGGTTGTTTTTTAATTTTTTTGTTACCATCTCGAAACAGCTAGACCGATTTTGATAAAAATTTTATATGTATATTCAGTAGGTCTGGTTTGGTTTGGTTTGGTCACAACCTATTCCTAGGTTGTTATCTATTTTTTATATACCCTAAGTGATAGTGGCCCACCCCAATTTTTTTTTTTTATTTTTTAGACAAATTTTGTATTTTAATTGTTTTATAAGGAGTGCTTATTTTTTAGGGGGTGCTTGTCCAAAAATTTTCTTCTGGGTACACACTTTCATCACTTAAGGGACCTCTGTACAAATTGCATACTCCTAGTCCTAGAACAGATTTTACATAAAAATTATACAAATTTTTACCCTTAGTTTTACCCCTTAAGGAATGAATTCCAAAAATCGCTCTAATTATTCAATTACGCTACATAATAAACCTCTGTGCAAATCATCAATATATATAATCATCATCATATTCCTTGAACAGAATTTATTGTTCCAGAACGTTCAACCCTTCATTTCACACCCTTAGAGGGCGAATTTCCAAAAATTGCTTCTTAGTGCTAAATTACGTTACATAAGGAACGTCTGCAAAATTCATACTTCTAAAACCAATTTTAACAAATTTTTGTACAAATTTTCATCCCTTATTTTTTAGGGGATGCATGCCTAAAATTCGCTTCTAGGTACTCACTTTCATCATTTAAGGGACCTCTGAACAGAATTTCATACTCCTAGTCCTAGAATGGATTTTACATAAAAAAATTATACAAATTTTCACCCCTAGTTTTACCCCTTAAAGAATGAATTCCAAAAATCACTCTAATTATTCAATTACGCTACATAAGGAACCTCTGTGCAAATTCTCATATTCCTTGAACAGAATTTATTGTTCCAGAACGTTCAACCCCTCATTTCACACCCTTAGAGGGCGAATTTCCAAAAATTGCTTCATAATGCTAAATTACGTTACATAAGGAACGTCTGCAAAATTCATACTTCTAAAACCGATTTTAACCTTTTTGTACAAATTTTCATCCCTTATTTCTAAGGGATGAATGTCAAAATTAGCTTCTAGGTACTCACTTTCGTCACTTAAGGAAACTCTGTACAAAATTTCATACTCCTAGAACTAACACTTTTTGTACAAAATTTCACCCCCCAGTTTCACTACCCTTAGGCTATACATTTCCAAAAATCGCTTATCAATGTTCAAATGCGCCACATCTGTGCAAAAGTTCATACTCCTAGTAGGTACAGATTTTTTATGTATAATTACGTCCCTTTATCTAATAACACCCCCTTATGGGTCGAATTTTAAAAAGTTACTTAGTAGTGCTCATCTTAGAGAACGAATTAATATTCTCCGTATTTACTCCAGTTTCCTAATACTAACACAGATAACACATAATCATACTAGTTAATTTTTTATTGGAATAGAAGTAATTTTTATTAGAAGGTACAAAAAAATTAAAAATCTAAAATTTTATTTTCATAGCTACGTTTTTTTTTCATAGCCTTAGGATGCCTCATGTACTATCGAATATACGAAATATATAATCAATACGTGTTGAACTTTCTTTAAATATCGAGAAATAAAATATGTTTGGCAACACCGTACGAAATATCGCCGCCCGTAGTCCTCAACATTTAAAATATTAGCATTTTCAGGCTTCGATTATGTTCAAAAGCGCCACCGTATGACAAATCACTAAAGCTTCCACACGAGAGTTCTTAAAACTATAATATTCTTTGCCTATACTTACGTTTTCTAATTAATTTATCAACTAGTGAAGGAGAATATCCATTACACTCAGCTACATTCCTAATGTAATCTCTTTCTATTTCATATCTTTCTTTGGAAAGTGGGAAACTAAGTAATCTATGAACTAAGAAATTTAAACTAGCCATTTTATGTTCAACGCTATGATGTGATTCATTAGGAATATATCTGCGTTGAAAGGAAACAACTATATTTTTGAGATGTTTCGCGACTTTATTGTCACTTTTTCAGGCACCAAAACATATATTAATCCATATGCCTACAAACATACATAGCTATGCCAACCGCCAACACTAAGACACATACAGAAGTACTATGTTTAAGTACTCTAATGACATAAACCTAGCATCGGTGTGCATCCAAAAAATACCCCATGTTTCTGTTCGTTCGTCTTTATGTGTCTTAGTGTTGGCGGTTGAAATCGTCATGAATGTTATTAGGCATATAGATTAAAATGTTTTGGTGCCTGAAGAAGCGACAATAAAGTGGCGAGACGTCGCAAAAACATAGTTGTTTCCTTTCGAGCCCAAACACCCACGATTTTTTTCTGCGATTATATAAATATTAACAAATTAACACTTTAAATAAAAATACAATTTTTCTTATCGTTGTCTATTATGTACCAATTGATAAACCAGTTTTATTGATTTTTTGATTAGGTGAAGTCGAATTTGTTATCAAAATATTATTTTAGTGATTTTTAAAGATACTATAAACATATGGGTAATAAGGAAAATCTGTATGACTCATTTATATAATGATGTAATGATAATATTTTTTTATGTTCATTATAAATGAAGGATCCATGGGGAAAACTTGATAAGCGCTAATTTCTTTATTTTAGGATTTTACAATATTATAGTAGGTCTAACTGGTTTCTATAAAATGTATAAACTTTGCAGGGTAATAAGTTGTTAAATCTTATGATATATGCCTAGTAAAAATATCGAATACACGGAAAGAACCTGATAACCATCAGCCGTCCAGTGCTCTCCTGTAACATTAGTAAAATGGCGTATATCATGATTTTCCTCTGGACCCTTCAAATGCTAAACCGGCCACCAAACCAAACAAGTGCATGAAATATATTCTGCTATATATTTTTGTTCTTACCGGCAAAAATTTGATTATCTTCAGGCTCTCCATTTAATATTGCATTTAAATCATCAATATTTTCAAGAATATCTTCCATTTCCTTATAGTTAAGATGTTGGATAGCATATTTCAAGTCCTCCAATACTTCATGGTTTTCTGCTGGATTATCCATGATTGTACTTCTAAAGTTAGATAAGTTTAACATCAGGTACTAATTATAATGAATAAAAATGTATTTGTGATAATTTTACTATTTTTTTTAAGTAGGTAGCAGATATTTTCTATTTCAATGCATATTGATCATACGTGTCACAGATAAAATGTGCATAAATTGGATTTTCTATTAACTCATTTTGATAAATTTTGCTGGTGAAAGTTTTTACTTTGAATTAGATTAGAAATGGCATAATACAATTTGACTTCTTGAAAAAAGCCTGCGTATTTTGCCACTAAAAAAGAAGTTATTCTTTGTTAACACTACCGGGTCGAATCCACACTGAAAAAAAAGCTTTTTGATCATGAAACAAATTTTGTCTAACCGATAAAAAATGCTTAACGTTTCAGAAGGCATGTCTCCTCCTGTCATTAAAAAAAAATAACAAAAATATAAAACCAGCGCGCCCCAAATTATCCTATATTATTATCCTAATTTTGCCCGCGCATTATCCTAATTTTGTAGAAGTTGACGTAAAAAAATTGGCGCCGGGAGGCACGTATAGTCGCCCATACTAAAATATGTTAATATCTCGAAAATTGCGACTTTGACTGATTTTGATGTTATTATAAACTAGGTTTTTCCCGCGACTACGTTCGAATAGTTCGTGCATTGATTTGAATCATTTACTTTGTATATAGAGCTAGTGAGCCTTACAAATGCCCTATTTAAACTATGTTTTTAAGAGTTTTAGAGCTGCTCGTATTTCATATGAAAGTTATCAATTGTCGATTTTCTGGGTATTATACAGGGCAAGTCTTGAACAAGTGCAAATATTTTCAGGGCTGGTAGATCTCGATAAAAAACCATATTTTCTCTTTACCGTTTTTCAAATAACTCTTTCGAATTACTTTAAAAATTTCCAAAAAAAAATATTTTTTGCTTAAATTTTGACAACCACTGCAGCTTTTCAGATTTTTCTGTCTTGTAAATTTAATCTACTACCTATCTATGTTGCCATATTATCAAGAAATTATGGTTTTTAACTAAAAACTAAAAAATATCCAAAAGGTTTTTCAAAAAATTCCAAATTTTCAAAAGAAATTTCGCAAAAAAACTCATAATCGTGTTTCTGGGGTCAAATATACCTACTACCGCTAAGAATAATTGCACTTATTTAAGACTCGCTCGACAAAAAATCGATATTGTTATTTTTGACTTATTACATATTTTTTATTGAAAATTTATAAAAAGCCGTCAATATTCCAATTTCAAGAGCATTTTTATTCTCTTTAAATATTATTATGTACTTAAGAAAATTCGAAAATTTAAAAACCGTTTTTTATTTTTTCATCGCCTGTATATGACATTATGACACACTTTGTATACCAAAAATAAAACTTTTGATTAGAGCCGTCTGAAATAAAAAATCTTAATAATTCTAGAAGTTATCGAAATAAAAGTATTTCAAAGAAGTTCAATTCTAGCCACAAAATGTTTTTGAATTCTTGTAAATTTTTACTAACTTTACCCATTTGGTTGATGAATTTCAAAAATCTCTTCTAATTCTTTTTGTTGGATTTCATTCTTCTAGACCACATAGTAAGGAATTTTCACACAACAAATTATTCCGACATAATTTTACTCTCTAAGAGGATGAATTTCCTAAAATTGCTTTGTGTAGCTATTTCACTAATGTCGTTTAAACGAACCTTCCTTCTTAGATACATTTATGTATCTAAAGCTGGCTGTATGAACTGATCACTAAAATATCTGAAAAATGATATATAATCTAACTGACAAACCACTGACAATGACAAATAATTTATTTCTGGAGGTATTGTGTGTAGGTGTTTTTCAGGTATGTTTTAATATTTAGTCGATTTACACAAAGAAATAGCCATTCAACAATTTAAAAATACTTCATAACAAATCTAGACATATATACCTTTCATTTAAAAAAAGAATCATCAAGATTGGTAAAGCAGTTTCGGCGGGATGGATGTAACAAAAAAAAAACATATATAAAAGCTCAAAAGCCATTTGAGCTTTTATATATGTATGGATTTTGTTGCAAATATTATTCCTAATCTTAATTTGAAAACCGCATTTCGCTAGCTACTGTAATTTTGGAGTTACGATTTTTTAAAATTTTTAATCCCCTCCCATACCCCCTTACCAACACCCCACTCCCACCAAAAACTAATGGCCAGATTCTCCGGTGCCACAGTATTTTTGTGCCAAATTTGGTTAAAATCGGTTCAGCGATTTTTGAGTTATCGTATTACAGACGGCAGACAGACAGACAGACACCATGAAAATATTTTGTATTTAGGTCATTTATGACCCAAATAACTCATTTTGAGTGAAATTAAAAAAGCTTTTTTTTTGCCGATCCTAATAGCCTACCATACCTATTGGTATGGTCGGCTAAAAATTGCTGTTTTTTTTTAAATAAATACCAATTTTCAGCCACCTAGTAAAATATTTTTGTGTCTTTTTTCTAAACAATAGCATCCGTTCCTCAAATATCATTTGGACGAATATACTGGCAATTGTATGCTGATTTAAATAATTAAATCGAAAATACAGGCCTTAGACCGAAAAAAACATAATCTATACTAATATATAAAATCCTTAAGTGACTCACATACTGATTAATGACGATCCTGTTCAAACCATTCAACGTAAGAAGCTCAATTTTGGCATACAGGTTGATTCTAGGGTGTAGAGGTTCGATAAGAAGGGATTTATCGAAATTCCAGTTCCAAGAGGGTGAAACCATCCCTCACATATTACAATATTTTTTTTTAAAAAACGGTCAAGTTTCCGAAAAAACGCTCAAACACGTATATTTTATTTTGTTTTTTACATATTTTAAGATTTTTTAAAAACGTATACAGGGTGTTTCGAAAAATCTGGTCATTGATTAATCACGATCCTGCTTAAAGCGCTTTACGTAAAAAGCTGATTTTTGGAAAACAGATTGACTTTAGGGTGTAGAGGTTCTATAAGAAGGGATTTTTCGAAACTCGAATTCTAAGGGTGTGAAACTATCCCTCAAATATTAAAATATTTTTTATTTAAAAACCGGTGAGTTTTTCGGAAAAACTCTTAAACACGTATATTTTATTTTGTTGTTTTTATACTCGTATATTAAGATTTTTTATAAATTTATACAGGGTGTTATACAAACTGCTTGACATTTAAAGCTGATTTTTGGCAAACGGATTGACTGTGGTGTGTAGAGGTTCGATAAGGAGGGGTTTCTCGAATCTCAAATTCCAAGAGAGTGAAAACGCCCCTCAAATATTACAATATTTGTTATTTAAAAAACGGTTAGTCTTTCGGGAAAATGCTTGGACAAGCATAATTTATTTGTTTTTTTTTACATATTTTGAAATTTTTTAAAAAATCATAGAGGATTAATTTCTCAACCACGATTCTGCTTAAACTGCTTGACGTAAAAAGATTATTTTTGGCAAACGGATTTTTCGAAAGTCAAATTACAACGAGATGAAACTACCCCTCAAATATTACCAAGTTATATAATAATATCACCATATTGTCTTTTCTTATGCTGACATAAATGTGAGAAAATTTTATCCAGTTTGTATGTTAATGGAAATTCTTGCTTTGCTTTATCATCACCATTACAAATGATTAATTCGACGCGAACGAAGTCGCTGGTACACGCAAGTTAAATATAAGACTCAATGTATTTCTAGTTCTCCATCCTATTATGATATTTATATTGTTACTATTACATATTATTTTTATTTAGGAATTAGGTAAATAATACACATAATGTATGAAAATTCAACAATTTTTGAATTATGAAGTTTCGACTTTGACATGTTAAATGAAAAGTTTGTAATTTCCTGACTTGATATAATCTCATTTTATACATCTATAAATACTAACTTGAAAACTAATCAAATATTCATTCAGTGTCACAGTTTCTGCAGAATGGTATCGTTAAATGAAACAAATCGAAATTAATTAAATCGAATTGTTGAAGTGATATTTTCAATAACTTGCTTGGTTGCTTTGAGGTATATTATATGTATCTCGATTTTTGCTTAGAAATGAAGAAAGAACCGACATGAATTACAGGGAATTCCATTAAAAAAATAAAACTTTGATGTACCACTACTTTATGACCGACCCTGTATACTTAAATTTATTACCCGCTAATAGATATTCAAAAAACCCTATAACTTTTATATATATATATATATATATATATATATATATATATATATATATATATATATATATATATATATATATATATATTTTTTATTTTATGTAACTAACTGTATGTGTGTTTGACGGAGATTAAATAAATAAATAAATATACAGGGTGCTACAAATTCGAGGTACGAGCATTGGTATCTCGGTAACCGCTATTTATTTATTTATTTAGCGTATGGCATATTAAGACACAAAGTAAATATATGACAAAAAGAAAAAAAAGTTAATAGGTACGGACATGGTTAAATTGGGGCAAAGTTGCCGCTTTGGAATGTTCGCCAAGATGCCATCGAAAAAGTTTTAAAAACGTCAAGGATTGCTGAGTTTTTTGAAAAGAAACGGATTTTTTTGAGAATCAATTTAATTTTTTCCTGTTGTTACCTGTTGTTACTATTTAGAAAACCAAAAAATTTATTAGGACTTACTGACAGTATTTTTAGATTTTGAAATTAGCTGACAATTTGTGAGATACAGAGGCGAACTTATTTTTTTTAAATACGGATCTGCAATTTTTACTTCATATTTTGAAAGAACTCAGTCTCCTGAGTACAATGATATGCCACACTTAATTTTTTTTTGTTTCGGACATTTGAACACAATTTATTTAAACTAATTTCAAGTCCGGCTCTATTTTTTAAATATTTAATCTATTCATCGTTAGAATATTGATAAGCTTTCAAACTTAACAATGACTTGGGGCAAGACATTGAATACGGAAAATCAAATGTAATAAAATAATAAAAAATAATATAAAATAAATAATATAAATAT